AACAACAACAACAACTAAATAACCCAAAACTGTAGATGGAGCAAATAGAATACTACACATATAAATTAGAGAGTGAATGATAGATAAATGGCAGTGTTAGGAAGATTAAGAAAGAAGTCTATTCTCCTGCTTCCTTCCCCCTCAAATAAAATTCCATTCCCCTTCAATTTTTTTCTATGAAATAAATTTGATTTTTATAGCACTTGTTATTTAATATTTTACCACGATGAATACAACTGTATTTCAAAAAGCTTTTTAATGAAAATACGATTATATTTCATATACCCAAGCATTTATAGCACTCTTCACTTATAATTGTGATAAAGGAATTGTGTTATTTCAAAATCATCACATTGTTCTAGCCACTAACTTTTAGCGCTGTTACTTTTAACTTTTGTTTTGGCATGTTGCTTTTAACTGTAATTAAAAATTATTGGCATCTGTGTTTACTTTTCAGCTTGAGCATACCTTATCTTCATAGCAGAAACTAATTAGTATGTGAAATACAGTATCATTACATTTGCATTAACAGGAAAAAAATTAAATTGATCAGATGTAAAATTTGGTAGAAAATACCTTTTCATATATGAAAAATATGCACATGGTACTAATTCCAGTTCCAGGAGTGCAACAAAGAAATCGTTTTTTCTGCTTAGGCAGATTAAAGAGTATATAACAACAAAAAATGAATTTTTTGCTCATGAAATTTAAATGATTTTGGGGAACAACAAACTTTTGATTATTATATGTAATAATAAGATAAAACATCTTTTCTGTTTTCAAAAGGATTTCATACTTACCCTTAACATTTTTTTTCTAGTTTACCGACCAAAATCCCTTAACATCCCCAATGCATTTTAGACATATTATTTCTTCTGTGAATCTCTTTCTGACCACCTAAAGAAATATTTAACTGGATTCACCCTCAGGTAAGAAATGATATGGCAGAGGCAGGAGCATCTGACCTCCTTTTCACAAAGGGATGAGTCTCAGACTCAAAATAAGCCAAAGGCCGATTCCTCTGTTCAGACATGTGTCCACCCAGTTTCTCCTTCATCAGTTCTGTCCTGTGTTAGGCTTGGTTGACTAGTGTCATCAGAAGTCATACTAGCCCATAGTCCCAGTTCAGACTCACAGCCACATGCAGTGATGCAGCATGTAGAAAGGAGCACAGGTGGCTGGGTACAGAGTCATTTGGATCCAATGGTGATGGACGTGTCACAGGGCTCTGGCAGCAATCAGGGTTCCCAACAGGAAGGTGAAGGCAGAGAGGGAAGGAAAGGTTCCCAGGATCCTCCTGATGAGAAGGCCACACACATAACGAGGTCCATCAGCCTGTGACCTGACTGACAGTTTGAATTCCACACGTATACTTTTTTATATCTTCAAGTTGATATGAATTTATGTAACTACCACATATCCTCTCACAGCCCTCTCAGTTTCTCGGCTGGGTTCAAGAATTCATTGCAATGGCCACACAACTCACACACCATACTTGGAATTACTGGGTTTATTAGGGAAGTTAAGGTAACATGATGAAAAATGCTCAGGATACTCTGGTCAGAACAGCCCCTCTACCCTTGGCCTCTGCCCTCTCACATAATGTTACAAAGAAAGCTCTTTTAGCACTGCTGAGAAATGCCCAAAGGGTACACTATTCCCCCATAAGCCTCAGCTCAAAGGAGCTCAACTCTAGAAGCCTAGCTCCTGATGCGTGCCTGGAGGTGCCTCTCTCTTCAGGGCATGTCTTTACTTGCTCTCAGAACCAGGAAGCCCAACTTTCTGCTTCATTCTTTGGAGCTTCATTCTGTTGCTATCACTCCTCTGCCCCTTTTCTTGTGTCACAGTTTACTTTATGCTCCTATAAAGATTTACAGCCTCAGCAACCCAAAGGGGCAGTTCTACTTTATACTGAAGGGTTGCTGTGAGTTAGAATTGACTCCATTGTAGTGAGTTTGATTTGTTTTGTTGTTTTGTGTGTGTGTGTGTGTGTGTGTGTGTGTGCGCGCGCGCGCACGCGCAGCGCGCTGGGTATTTGTGTTTTGTTTTCCCTTTTCCTACATCTTCACTTTTTATTGTAGTGAGATCCTTCCATCTTCTGAAATGGCTTATTTTACACACAGTTGGATGTGAGGCTTATTTATCCCCACATCAGAGCTCCAAGTTTTTATAATAACAACTCTGTTAAAAATTTTACATCTTCTCTTACTCAGATGCATCAGAAAAAAATCTTTGGATGCGAGTTACAAACTCTGTGGTTAGAAGAGCTTTGTGAAGTAAATCACTATACCACAGAGGCATATATATATACCTTTTACATTAGTACTTTTGATTTTAAATCTCGAACATAGCTTAAAACTGTCTCCCCTTTTCCTCTTTTTTCTATTAGTCTAAGCCAGCGGATCTCAACAGGTGGGTCACAACCCCTTTGGAATGACCCTTTCGCCTAAGACCATCGGAAAACACACAAATATTTTACAATATATAATTACATACTATTTTGTGATTAATCACTGTGCTTTAATTATGTTTAGTTATGTTCAATTTGTAACAATGAAAATACATCCTGCATATATCCTGAAGATATTTACATTACGATTCATAACAGTAGCAAAATTACAGTGATGAAGTAGCAACGACAATAATGTTACGGTTGGGGTCACCACCACACAAGGAACTGCATGAAAGGGTCACGGCGTGAGGAAGGTGGAGAACTGCTGGTCTAGCGCTGCTCACTTATTCCCCGGCATACTTCTGTAACGCCTCCTGTTTTGCTGTCCTTCTCAGGGCAGCCTGAGTAACCTTGTTCAAGCATAAACTCACTTTACCCAACTTAAACTCTTCTGGTACTTTTCCAGTGCATTGCTTTTCTTTCACTCCTTGTTTGAGTAATGGAGTCCCATACCCCACTTTTCTTTACCACTTAATAGAATTGATCATTATCCATTAGCTTGGATATTTACTGTTTGCTATCCCTTCTGCACTAGCCTATGAACTCCATAAGCAAAGGGACCAGGTCTTTTTATTATTTTAACTATTTTTAACTGCATGGTCCTTAGGATTTATTTAAATGCACATAAAAGGTTTAGTTTATCTACTGAAGGAATTAAATTTTTTAGAAACAAGTATAATATGCATTTCTTTATTGCTTATCTATTTTATATTGATAATCTGTAGTATCCCCTTCTGTTTTGTTTTTCATTAACACTGATTACTATTTAACTCAAATAAAAATCCATGAAGACAGACTTTTTGTGTTTTATTTGTTTCTCTGTCTTCAATATCCAGAATAATGCCCAGCATGTATTTGTTACATATTTGTTAAATGGAGGAATGAATGGATTCCCATATACCTCACTTTAAAAAAATTCATTCCTACAAAAAATAGTTAAGTTCAACAAATATTTGTTAAGTGCTTATTGATGCTAGGCCTCTGCTAGGTAGGCACTGTGAGCATAAAAAATCAGTGTTATATTTTTGCTTCTGATTTCATGTAAAGCTATCTTCTATTCTGCTTAATTTGGGGGTTATAGTCGTAAAACAGTGATTTTGAATTACTTGAGTGCTTAAACCTGCCATTGCTATAAAATAAAATAAAATAAAATATAACCTGTAATAGTTTCATATGCCCATGTAGCTTCATTGGTTTAAAATACGATGTTAATTGTATTTTCTGTTCAAACATACTTGTAGTCTTAGGTTCTTTGATCAATCTACTCAATCATTTTCTATCTTTAAGTTCTTAAGAATTTGTAAAGATGTTAACTGCTCATATGATGTCGTGTTCTGATGTTCTGCCTTCCACATCTTATTTTGATTTGATAATATTATTTTAAAATTGCCCCAGAAAGACCTTTGTTTAGGACCTTGCCAGAAGCCAGTACTTCCTCACTTCCTTTTTCCTAATAAGGGTCTTTTACTTCTGATACTAGAAACCACCCACCCCTTCCCCCTCCCACCCTGGTTCTCCATATAGTAAGGGGATTTACTTTTTAAGATATTTGACTGGAAAGTAAACGTTTTATGCATTTTGGGTTTTAAATACAATGTTGTCACCGTAGGCAGAGAACACATTGAAAAGCCACTAGCAAATAGATGCAATTTTTATGCTCTTTCCTTAATTCTAAAAATTTTGAATTAGAATCAAATCTTGTATCATTTTTCTGTTTGCCTTTTGATAATTTATTTGTTTTCTTTTAAGTAGATGATTTATGGATTCTCTAATTTTTACTTAAATATATTCACTATGTTCCCTTGAATAAAATGTATTCCAAACATGGAAATATTAGCTATCTCATGTCTCAAATATTAGGTGGGAAGGCCTTTCTTTTAAGGAGAAAAGCTTACTATTTAATTTTCTATGTCTGTAATAGAACTTTTAAATTGTTATCATTATTTGATATACATTAACTTTGAGTGATTTTTACATGTTAATATTTCACAACCATGAAAAAATAATAACAATTTATAAATTATCAAGGGTTAGTGACGGAGGGAGGGAGGGAATAAAATGAGGAGCTGATACCAAGGGCTCAAGTAGAAAGAAAAATTTTTGAGAATGATGATGGCAACAAATGTACAAATGTGCTTGACACAACGGATGTATGTATGTATTGTGATAAAAGCTGTATGAGCCCCTAATAAATTATTTAAAAGAATATTTTACAACCATCTGAATGGATTAATTTAAATAAATACATATGCATGTATATATGCATAATGGGGCTTTCAAAGTTCATGGAAAATTCCATTGTCTTTCCATTTTATTTTCCATGAGCTTTATTTTAGAACCCTCTCATGTGTGTCTTTGTGGATATGTATACACCGTAACATAAGTAACATACATTTTACTGGAAGCTTAGCCATAAAAAAGCCATACTCTACTGTAAAATCTATTTTGATAATTTCGTTAGCTTTAACCTAAACTGGTCTTAGAGAAATAGTGAACTTCTTAGATTTTAAGTGCTTATAACATAAAAATTTGCCTTTTTCTTTCTTAGGATGAAGTGGCACATACCCTAACTGAAAGCAGAGTATTAAAGAACACTAGACATCCCTTTTTAACAGTAAGTGACTAGAAGCAGAGACAGTGATCTTAACATTCGAGTTGGAGGAGTTCTGTTACAGAAACTTCAGTCATGGACAGTAGTTTTAATTCATACTCATTTAAGCATGCCATTTTCTTTGTGGAAAAACCATAGTCAAATTTCTTTGAAATGATTGAATTGTATGAATTATGTTCATAATATATACATTTATAAACACTCCATTTAATGCTTTCATCATCCATTACATTTTAAAAACTTTTTTTGCTCATGAATTTCATATGTTGTTTTTGTTTTAATTAATACCAGAAAAATTAGAGTAAATAAAATCACCTGTGCCATTTTAAAGCAACCACTTAGATGGTAGACTTCGAAAAACAGTCCTTAAAATAAATCTAAAAAGTTTTTGTTTCTCTTGTTAATTGGCTTCTGGTTAATATTAAAATGATCAGGTACCATGGCATTCAAATGAGAAGAGTAAAAATATTTATGGAATACTTTTACAGAAACAGACTTATTTTAGGAATGAGTGCAATACATATTGATTATATTAAATCTAGACAGGATAAATTGTGATATGTTTTCTTCACTAATCAGACTATAAACTGAGTTATATTTCTATAACTTAGTTACTTTGTAATAAATGACTTTCTTTTTAGTTCTCTCTTTAGAGTCCGTAAATCGAGCCATCATTTGCAAGGTTTCTATGTGTTGTTGGTTCCATTGATGTGTTTAGTAAGATTAAAAATAACAGGTAGTCTTTTGGAAGGGCAAATTTTATAAATTTAGGATTCTCTAAAGTAGATATTTTCAGAAGTATAATTAGATAAGTAGACTGATTCTGTAACATGATCGTTTTTATTTGTCAGTATAGCCAGGCAGCTCTAAAGTTTTGAAGCAGTATGAATAAGAACTTCAGGGAACACTACAGTTTCAAATAGATAGCCTAGTAGATTGAAAGTGCTTGTCACAAGCACTAAGTTCACTTTTAATTAAAATTTTAATCCCCAACTCCTTAGTCATAACCATTGCTGAGTTTAGCCAAATGAGTTTCATGTGTCTCATTTAAGCACTGGCAGTAGACAAAGAACACTAATGATCCATTTAATCAATTATGCGTTTCTATTTCTAAGTATTCTTCTTTTAGTATTATAGTGATATGAATATAGGATGATAATACGATATTTTTTCTTTTTCATTTCAAGTCCTTGAAATATTCCTTCCAGACAAAAGATCGTTTGTGTTTTGTGATGGAATATGTTAATGGGGGAGAGGTGAGTCAAACAAGTAAATCTAGCACTTGGATTTGCATGGTAGTATTGTCATTATTTAAAAGTGAATTATTTAATAATGTAATACTCCACTTCTTCAAAGGGGTTTATTTGCCCCTGTCTATTACGGAGTAGATGAGAGATGAATAATTTCTAATAATCTTTTAAAATATAATTACATATATATTAAAACATAATCCTGTCTTTTTCTTATATATTGATGTATATATTTTATTTTATTTTTAAAAATCATTTTATTGGGGGCTTGTACAACTCATCACAATCCTTTATAGTATATATTTCTGAGATCATCATGTTATTAAGTTTTGGAATCTAGAAGTACATTTTACTTTATTCTCTTAGATTTTTTTTTTTGGAGTTAGTTCAAGGATTATTTGTTGGCCTTTAGGAGTGTTTTCCAGTCCAGTCTTTTGGGGCAGCACGCCCTGGCCCCAAAGTTCACCTTCAGCATTCCCTGGGGACCTTGCTGCTCCATTCCCTTGCTGTTCTGTTGCACCCCCTTGGTGTTTTGCCTCGGTGTGGCGGCATCAGATCGGGTGCAATTCCCACAAAGGGCTATGGGTCAGTGAGGGGCATCATGTCTCATAGTGGGGCTGGCCATGTGGTCCTCTCTGTGGACTGCCTACTCTAATCAGGAACATCGTCCTCAAGGCTTGGTGGGCCAGGATGTGCTCCACTCTCTCCTCCCCCCCTTCACCTGCTCCCTTGTCCTCCGATCAGATATGTCCCTCTCCCGGAGCTGCATGTACAGTGCCGTCCTTTGAAATAAATTCTTCTGGGGGAAGGGCCAGGTGTCTATGTAGTAGTTCGGATTGGGGCTGCCCCCCTCCCCCATATACTCTTAGATTTTGATCAAAGTTAATGTGAGGAAAAAATTAATTTACTGGAAATATTTTGCAATGTAACTTTCTGAAATAAATTTTATTATTATTAGGGGCTTGTATCTCATGAAATTAAAATAGTCTTATTTTACAAAATTAATTAATTATCTTCTACAGAATATTTTCCCCTACGGAATTTTCTTTTTCTAAGAATGAGTTCATTGCACCATTTATTCTTTCATTCTTTCAAACTCATGGTGAGTGCCTTGGCAGTGTAGATTTATTTAAATATGCTAAGACATTCTCCTTGCTAAGGTTTATATAAGTTGTCTTACAGATCTATTATAAATTAGAACATGTTATACAAGAGCTGAGTACTAACTAAATAGGTTGAAAGAAAACACTTTCTGGGTGATCTAGTATTTCGGGTAAGACCTACATCTCATCCAATGCTTGATGAGAATCAACAGAGAAAGTGATTTGAGAAGGTCTTACAGACAGAGAGAGTAATATGAACAGAATCATTGGTGAGGTTAAGCAATAAGGCGAGAAAAATTGGAGTTATTGGATATGATCTATACATGCACAAATAAACCTTCCTAGTCAGAAGTACAGATTATGGTCCATGGGACTTCACAGAAATAGGAACTTCTGTGTTGTGGCATGAAGAAAAGCTTCCCAGAGGAAGCTAGATACACCTGCACTTTTCATTCTAAGACCAGAGCACTTTTGAGAGTTTTGATAATTGTTCATAGACTTTACACAGAAGATTTCAGACTGGCCAGATGTTTTTTGTTTTTGTTTTTTACTTTCTTAAGATAATTTTACTGGGGGCTCTTACACCTTACAATAATCCATACATCAATTGTATCAAGCATATTTATACATATGTTGCCACCATAGTTTTCTAAACATTTACTTTTTATTTGAGCCCTTGGTATCAGCTTCTCTTTTATCCCTCCTTCCCACCCTTGTGACCCCATGCTAGATTATAAATTATTATTATTTTCATATCTTACACCAACTCCTTTCTCCCTTCACCCACGTTTTTGTTGTTGGTCGCCCATTGGGCGGGGCGGTGGTGCGGGGGCGGGGGGATATTGTTGTTGATGGTTTTCTTTAACATTGAAACGCCTATATTATTTATATTACCTGGAATTTCTTCTCTTTTTTTCATAATATATGTTTTAAGAATCTGGTACAATAAGATTTATTATTTAATGCATTTAAGCAGGTGAACTCCTTCTATATGTGATATATAATTTTAAATTTCATAGGCATAGGTTATAATTTTAGCATTGCCATTATTATTGTCCAAATTATTTTTCTTTAATGATTTTGAATATAGACAGCTAAAAATTTGATTACTTAGGGGTGGGAAGGGGGAGGGCAATCAGGGGGTAAATAATAGTTGTGTGTGTGTCTGGGTAGACTAGAGAAACAAACTTTACCCCTTCGCAAGTTGACAAGAGATTAGGTAACTACTACAATGTGGAAGGGGGGAGGGAGCACTAGAACTGATTGTGATGACTCTTTTTTAATGTGATTTAACAATGGATGTGTATGATATGTGAATTTTATATCAATAACATATTAAAATTTAAATTATAAAATTTTAGAAAAATGAAATTTATACGTATGTAATCTCTTCCCCCCACCTTTGTTTTAAGTTACCAAATATACTTAGAATAGTTATTTAGTTCTTGGAAGTTTTTATGATTTTGAAATTGATTTATTGTTACTGTTTTTGTTGTTGGTTGCCGACTAGTGGATTCCAAAAGGTTTTATGTTTTTGTTTTTTTTCCGGTGACTTTAGTTTTGGTTCACCTTGGCATTTATTCTGCCTAGGAATGCTTCCTAGAGATGGCAGAAAATATAATTACTATAGAAAAAATATGCCAAACCTAATAGTTATGGTTTTTAAGTAAGATTGAAATAGATAAACTAGCTGTCATACACACAAAGAATCCACACCAATACATCACATATTCCATGAATGATCTCTTATGGAATATCTCGGTGTTATCTAGGAGACTGGACAAGAATACTGTTGGAGAGTAAGCTCTGTTCCATTGGTAGCACTCACTCAAATGGCAAAGCTCAGCATTCAATTTTGCCTTGAGTTACACTTCTTTCGTGGGTCCACTGACGTGAATTTTCTTTTCAATTTATGCTTATTTGGAGTTATCAGTAGCTTTGTTTTGTCCCATGTTCTAGAACGTTAATCTTCCAATATAAATACTTTGAAAAGTTGAGAAAATTTTTTTTGTCTTCCGTTTGTTACTCACATTTTTGTATATATCTGGACTTCTTTTAGCTAAAAGACCACACTGGAGTTTAACATCGTTTAGACCTTCTTACTATATATGCTGGCCAGTATTATTTGAAGTTCTCAAGTATCTTGAAATAAGTGTATTTTGATAGAAATATTGGTTTTGAAAGCTAATGGACACTGATAGGCATGCCAAATATAAGGCAGTCCCCTCATATCCAAACCCTAAACCAATCCCAGTGTCTCGAGTCAATTTTGATTCATAGGAACCCTAAAGGACAACGTGGAATGACCTCATGGCTTTTCCAGGACTGTCTTCTTTACAGAAGCAGACTGCTGTATCTTTCCTGTGTGAAGCATTTGGTAGGTTTGAACTGACTACCTTGGTTAGCAGCCAGATGCTTAACCACTGTGCCACCAGGGCTCTTCTTGCCTCATATTCGCATTACATTTTCATGAATTTAGCTAAACTGGCTTAGAAAGAGAGTATATTATTAGATACATTAGATTCCTAGATAGGGAATTTAAATGTATGATCATTCTAACTTCCATTCTTCTCTACATATATATATATATTTTTTTTAATCAATTTATTGGGGCTCATACAATTCGTCACAATACATAGATCAATTGTGTAAAGCACATCTATACATTTGTTGCCCTCATCATTCCCAAAATTTTCTTGCCTCTTGGGTTCCCGGAATCCGCTCATTTTCCTTTTATAATAATTTATAAATTATTAAGGGTGCATGGGGGAAAGGGAAGGGGAGGGGGGGAAAATTAAAATTAAAAAAAAAAAGGAAAATGAGCTTCTCTACATATATTTACAGTACCCTCAAGATGAGAAACAAAAACCTCATTATTTTTTGCTTCATGTCAATGCATACCATTAGAGGGATTTTTTCCTCTTTCTTTTTAAGCTTTTTGTTGTGATTTGGGTAATTTTACAAAGCAAGTTGTTTTTCAATTCAACTATTCATATTTTAATTTATGCCATTGATTATAATCCCCACAATAAAACAGCACTCTTCCCACTTCCTCCCTGTGTTTGTAGTTGCTATTCCTCCTCCATTTATAGCCATTTCTGGCTTCTGACCTTTATTCCTGGGCATAAGTTGCCCTTTTGATCTCATATAGTAGGTAGTTGTAAGAAGTGTGTACCTACTGGTGTTACTGTTCACCTTATAGACATGGCTATCTTTTTCTGCATGTTAAACTATGGTGCAATCAGGTCCAGGCCTGAAGGGTATCTAAGGGGCATCATCTCAAATGTTCCACCAGTCTCTATTAGACCAGTAAGCAGTCTTTTGTTAAAATTTTAGTTTTGTTCCATATAATTTGCCCACTCTACGCAGGACCTCCTGTTGTGATCCTTTCAGGAAACAAAGAAACTGGGAAAAAATGTTCACAGCCACTTTTTTAGAGAGGTGAAAATCAATCATCTCTCTAGTGACTGCCAGCACTTATGATGACATATACAAGGAGAAACATAAGTGATTTCTTACTTGCCGGCTTGGGGATACTGTTGCTGTGCATAAAGAAGACACTTGATGAGGAATTCATTTGGAGATGATCATCTTATATTTAAGGTGCCAGGTGGGGTATAAAAAGGCAGAAGAGTTAGGTCAGAGATTCAAATAAGTATCATCTTTAATGCTAAAACCAAGGAAGTAAAGATGTGTCCTGTGAAAGAAAAGTACATAGTTAAACATGTCCAAGTACGGTGCCTTTGACATCTTGGTGATGAGAACATCCTAAGGAGGATCCTGGGAAGAACGAGGCATTGTAAGTGTAACAGAGCATCTGAAATCTGGGCTAACCAAGGAAATAGGTTTGTTGATTTTGTTATCTCTCGAGTCTCCAGCAGAGGATTAGGTGGCGCCTTTCTT